TCGAAAAATCAACCCCGAAAGAAGAATCATCCTCCACCAAGATAATGCAAGCTCTCACACGGCCCAAAAAACAAGACATCATTTAACGGAAGAAAACGTGGAATTATTGGACCATCTTCCATATAGTCCCGGTCTAAGTCCTAACGATTTCTTTACTTCCCCGAAAATTAAAAACAGACTGCGTGGTCAAAGGTTCCAGTTACCAGAAGAAGCAGTTGACGCATTCAAAAATGCCGTTTTGGATCTGCCAGCAAACGAGTGGAATAAGTGCTTCGAAAATTGGAGAATACTTGGAAAAACAATAAAGTCATTTAAAACTACCTACCGTGTTGTTTTATTTCCATATGCAAAACTTAAAAGACATTCCTCTACTAGTATGAGAGCATTCCACCCTGTTAATATTCTGCAACATGAGGCTGCGTAATATCCAGCTGGCTAGTAATCCGGAGCTCTATCAAGAGCAATCTCCCCACTTTATTATGCATTGTTCATGGCTTTGTATCACACGCAAGTGCAGTGCTACACACGAATTATTCAAGGCTGTGTAATACCTGCTCACCATCTGTATATAACCTATTCCGAATTCTGCTATTACCATACCATAGTACTATGGTAAGTGATGTAGCAACTACTTGAATTTACACACCTGTCTGTACAAAATTGCTTATATGAACTCTCAAAGCATACACTGATCAAGATAGTCCTCTTTCACGGGAACATACTGAAAGATCAATTTGCTAGTTACATTTGGCCAAAATAGGTCGAATAATTTGAATAATACCCAATCGCCTTCTTTCCTAAAACACTATATCTTATTGCTATTTGCTGTTATCCTTGTTTCCACCCCATTCTTTCACGACCATATCGCAGGAGGTGTAGACTCATACACTTGTCAGAATTTTTCATCTGAAGAGCTACAAAATCAGGCAAGAATGACTATTGAAATTGCATGCGTCGCGCCAGGTTACAATATTCAGATTATATACTAAGTGACATATAAATCCGAACAGCCAGTTTAAATGGTTTTATTTTAATAAAAGTTGGTGAATGTACATATTTATCTTACTGTAAATAACAAGTGAAAAAATTTTCAGCCTTATAAGTTGGACATTCCGGTTTTTATACTGCTTTTTCTTAGTTCACTAACGCTCTAAAAATGAATATTTCAGCCGCAGTAAAGAATCAACGTTGGCGGATTTTGGTTCTTGACATCCTTTACGATCGGTTACGATGCCTAGAGTACGGAGACCTGTACGATTTCGTCAATTTAGTGAGTTTGATAGGGGCCGTATAGTGGGACTTCGGGAAGCTGGACTTTCTTTTCGGACAATTGCAGTTAGAGTGCAAAGAAGTGTAGACACTGTGGTTAGGTGTTGTCAGGCATGGCTTCGAGAAGGCCGTACGCAAAGAGCAAGGGGCACTGAACGCCGCCGTAGAACAACAGACCGGGAAGATCGCCGCCTAAGATTATTGGGCTTAAGGGACCGTTTCTCCACTACCAGGTCCATTGCAAATGAATGGTTTGCAGAACACGGAAGACCTATTGGCATGCGAAGTGTTTACCGATGAATGAGACGTTTTGGCTTGTTTTCATACCGGCCACACTGGGTCCTCCCTTTAACTCGAGAACACCGACGTAATCGCCTTGAGTGGTGCAGACAACGGTCACTCTGGGATCAGGAATGGGACAGTATTGTCTTTAGTGATGAGTCTCGATTTTGTTTAGGCATGCACGATGGTCGTGCCAGGGTTAGAAGGCGACGTGGTGAAAGGAGGAATCCACAGTTTTTTGTTGAAAGAAATGTTCATCACACTGTTGGAGTTATGGTTTGGGGTGCTATAGCTTATGGTTCCAGGTCACCTTTAATTTTCGTTAGAGGTAACATGAACGCGCAGCGTTATATCCACGAAGTTCTAGAACCCCATCTTTTACCTTATCTTGACACCCTGGCAGATCCAACTTTCCAACAAGATAATGCCCGACCACATGTTGCAAGAGTCACAATAGACTTCTTTCAACATAATGATGTCACATTGTTACCATGGCCACCAAGATCTCCCGACTTATCCCCAATTGAGCACGTGTGGGATATGATGGATAGGAGATTGCTCAATTTGCAACGTCCTCCTCAAACAGGACGACATTGACCACCTGATCAGAAGCATGCCTAGGCGCGTTGGAGAATGCGTAGCACATCAGGGTGCATCCACACATTCTTAAAGGTCAAAGGGCTTTAAAGCAGTGCAATCATTTTGAAATGTTTATCATTTACTTATTATGCTTCATTAAGTACTTATACAAAATTTTATTAAAATAAAACCATTTAAACTGGGTGTTCGGATTTATATGTCACTTAGCATATTACGGAGCATTCCAGCCATCGAAGAAGAGACCCGCAGGGGTGTTACGTAACTTGAAAAGTGACACTATGCCGGTTTTCTTTTGAAATTGTGTCGATTTTCTGGATATTATGTCATTTGTGACATGTACAAGACGTCAACTTGGAACTAGCTGTCGTTCACTTCATGCTCGCTTGTAGCAAGCGCGGAATGAATTATTTGCACACTAGCCAACAAAAAGTTGACATTTTTTTACATTATATAGGTTTTTTATTTAATAACCCTGACGTACTGATCCAGATTGATCAGCGGTGTTGTGGCAGCCTGAGACTAGCGTTTATGGACGGCTGACGTATTGAGTAGGATTCCGATAGCAATGTATACAAAAAAAGGTAAACATCTATGTATGCTTATCCGATTTTAATAATTTTTGGCATATATGTTCAGTGTTCCTTACTAGTAAAATGATTAAATTTTCAGCTTCATTCAACTGATATCAGACGCTGGTTCAGTAATGTTTTGAGGATCCACGATTTTTTACACACTAGCCATTTTGAGCAACTTTATCACTTGTTGTTCATGACAAGATAAATCGATATGTATAAAATTATTGAATTCTAATAAACATACGTAGTTGTTTACCTTTTTTTGTCAGTAAATATGAAATTAGGTCGTAAATGTCAAACATGTGTAGCAATATAGCTTGGCCATTCTAAGAATACTGTGCTAGCTAGTCAGTTGCAGCTAGATAATGCAGTAAACGTATTTTCGGTTCAGAAGCATCATAACAATGTCTGGTACCTGGATCAGAGCTGACAGACCTACTTTTACATTGCATTGCTTGTCGCCAAAACGGCAAAGTCTATCTACTAATGCCTGCCAAAGTGCCGGCATTTTATCAACATAATAGTAATACTTACTGGTGGAAACATCTGCCCTCATCAGACTTGTACTGCTCTTTACAAATTATATAAGTAACACGGTTTGAGACCGTCTACCACCACAATTATCTGTAAACACTCGCAATTTTAAATAATAATAACGCCATATCTACGAATCTAGAGACAGAACTATCGAAAAATTGACTTATGTGAGGTGCAGTTTGATCCTCATTACAGAGTATGAGAATACGGAGAAAAACAAATCCTTGACTGGCCATCTAAATTCCTTGTGCCGTTGACATACGAGCTACAAGGTAGCAAGTTCATAACCGAGATCTTTATCCTCATTTTATTGATAGAGGTTATGTATAAGAAATGATATACGGCGCTTCCCAAAAAGTTTCTCCGTACTTATTTTCTGAAGTCTGAAGTCAAGTTACAAATTTCGATTTGCATCAAATTCTTCATGCTTTTTATTTATATCGTCTGTTATACAGCCTAAATTTTCCTACGATTTAAGAAGAAAAACATAGCCTGACAATTGGGGAGCGCTGACACTGACACAGAACTGTAGAGATCTGGAAATATCCCAGCCTTTCTAAAGGAGGGAAAATACTTTGAAAATCAAGGAAGCCATAAAGGCGCCGTACAATTATTGTAGGAACGAATGACGATACGGCCATTAGAAAACTAAAATTCGGGCCAGTGAAGTTAATGAATGGGTATTATACTTTAGCGTAAAAGTGGCTGTTGAAAATTTAAAGTTGGCGGCTGGCCGCCATTATAAAACATTTTTTTAAATGGAACTGGGGAGCTTACGATACATCATTTTGAGTTCTTCATGACGCTAGAATATTAACCCGCTATCTTTTAAAATCGCCAGTTCGTCATATTAAGGAAGAGTCTATCTAAATGTGCAATAAAATTTGGAACAATCGGTTTAGAAAGTTTAATAGATTTTGAGTTTTTTTCAAATAGAATATTTTATTACATATTTCTGTAGACTCTTTGAAGAGAAGACTGATATGACATACTATAGCTTCTTGATGATTGATTGTTTAGTTATAAGCGGCTCAATATATAAAAACGTTCGTCTTTGACAACCTGTCAGTTCACCATCTTTAAAGGTGGTGGTCTTATATTTTCGGGCTATAACGTTGGGAGCCTCAAAATTCGCATCTATTGCCGGTTGTAAGAACTACCGCGCCAGCACCGCCATGTGTCGGCGACCACCGGAACTACGAAGTCTACATTCTCGGTAATAAAAAATCTGTTATAAATTGGAGCAAAAACAAGGACGTAAGTCACGTCATACCTGGATGACTCCACACTTATCTTTAATTGAAGTAATATTCAATAAATACTTTCCATGCAAACCTTTAGCTAAACATGTACGTATAGGTTTTATTTCGAAAATGTTGCTACATACGAGCTCCTTCCCACTTCGGTTGGCCCACTTCAAGATTTGTACCAAAATATGCATTTATAAAGTAAACATGATGAAACTTTTTACTTCTAAAACAATTTATTTTCTCAAAAACATTTTAGATACACTATAGTCGTAAAAAATACATATTTGAAATCACTTAGACCTATAACTAATAGAACATCTGAACAAATAAACAATGTGCGAATAAATGCGCGAAGTTAACAAAGCAACAATTGAAAGATTACCAATGGGTAACATCACGTTTATTTTTTATTACGGCTGAAATTCTTTGGGGCATAGTGTTAACCAAGTTTTGATTTGGTGTAAAACAATCCCATATTTCTTGAAGCTTATGTCTCAGTTCGGTGATTGTACGAGCTGGATGTTGTCGTAGAACCTTTTTCATCTCGTGCCACAAAGTTTCAAAAGGTGACAGATCTAGACTGCTAGAAACCCATTTCAAAAGTGGTACATTATTTTCTTCCATCCACTTTATAGCCTTTTTTGAGGTGTGGCACGCTGCACCATCTTGCTGAAACACAAAATCTTGGCCGGATGTCAAACATTCTGCCATCACTGGTAAAAGCGATTCTTCTAACATTGCCAAATATCTGTTTGTATCCTCATTTCCATCAATAAAATGAAGTTTTCCTACTCCTTTTGATGACATACTGCCCCACACCATAATGGATGTTAAATTTCACTTTTCTCTTCAGACAGTCAACATCGAATGCTTCATTTTTTTTGCGTATAACTCTACTGCGACTGTCACCAATACAAACTTCAAATCGGGCCTCATCACTCCATTGTATTGCACACAATTGTTGAGGTGTCCATTGTCTATGTTCTTTAGCCCATCTAAGCCGATTTTTCTTTTGCAGTGAAGTTAAGAGGGGCTTTTCTTTGGCCTATAAACAAGTTTTGATACTTTACGGGTTTTTACTTCACTTTTTTATAAGAAAACTTACCTTGCAAGTGCTAAATCCCAGTTTGTTGGCCTCTCTATGAGTGGTGGACCTCGAAATTCTCCTTCCAACAGCGTCACTCCACAGAGCACTTAATTGTAAATAATTGGCACGACCGTTTTTCACGATTCTTAATGCTCTTCGGTCGGCATTTGTGATATTACTTTTTTTCACATATGGCGGCTTAATATTAACTGAACCTGTTACGTTATATCTTCTAACAATATTTTTCACACTGTACCGTGATAAGTCTAACTAAGTTGCAATTTCTGAGTTTGATTTCCCAGAATTGAAAAATTTAATTATCAGTAACCGAATTTTCTCACTAATAACCTTTCCTCTACCCATTTTGAAAACCTTAACTACCCAAAACTATTTTAAACGTATTCTGACAGCTGTGATTAATAAAAACAATTGTCATGGCTTTTATTTTTCACAGCCACCTATGCGTTATAGACTTATTTTGCATTGAAATAAAAATAGGTTGATATGCTGTAATTGCACAATGTGTTATTTTTATGCTGCAAATTTGATTAGGGAGTGATAAAGTTGGTGTTTTCTACTATATATTATGAAAATATTCATTAATCGTATAACACCCTGCTACATTTTTATTATTTGTGTTTGATAAGACAAAAACTAAGATTTCAATAGTTGGGCCAACTAAAGTGTGAAGGGGCTCGTAGTTGTATAATGTAAATCAACAAAAAGCAAGCTCCATAAACCGTCATATGAAAGAAACATTTTGCCTTGTTCATTCTCAACCGATCAATTTATATGTTTGTCGCGTCTCCAGCCCCGACGGCTCAGCCTGCGAAAACATCCCTCAAGCATCATAATCCAACGGCGATTTTTTTCTTCCAGAGCTCGACGACTTTGTGTACTCTGGGGATCGGTGCCACGTTCGGGGAATCAATCCTGCAGGATCTGCCCAGGGACAGCACCGTTATCACCCACACCAGTTGTGAGCTACTCAGGGTCGAACAGCACGATTTCCGGCTCATCTGGGAGGTAAACATGTTTAATTTTTTTCTTGCCTAAGTCAACAACTGTAGAGACGCATCAAGTGCATGTTGTTAAGTGTGTTCCACAAGGGTCAATCCTAGGGTCTATATTAATTATTTTTTTATATCAGTGAGATTGAGACTGTTCACAGGGTGTCCCAACAAAAATGGGAAGTAGTTTTCTGAGCAACCTGGAAAAGATGTCAAACATCTGTTTTGTTTTGATATGTTACTAGTGTATATTTTAAAACTAATTTAGTATGAGTATGTACAATATAGTCAACAGACGATTCTTTGAGAAATTGTAACACAAAAAGTTCATGTAAACATAGGTTCACAAATTCTTCGTTCTGAAAATACAGGGTGTTAAAGTTTAACAAAAATATGACGTTTCGTAAGTTTCTTAAATATCCCTTACCTAATTTGGCGGTGGTATTTATAACATTAAGGAGCTAATGTCGCCCTAAGTTGATTAAATTTATTAAATCCAGTGGCGTCTCGAGCGGGATCTGAATGAATATTTGTGACAAAAGAAATATACGCCAGTGATTACGAGGGATGTCTTTTAAGTTTTGCATATGGAAATAAAACAACACGGTAGGTAGTTTTAAATGATTTTATTGTTTTTCGAAGTATTCCCCATGAAGATTAATACACATCTGCATGCGCTCGAACCAATTTTCGAAGCACTTATGCCACTCGTCTGCTGGCAGATCCAAAACGGCATTTTTGAATGCGTCAACTACTTCTTCTGGTGACTGGAACCTTTGACCACGCAGTCTGTTTTTAATTTTTGGGAAAGTAAAGAAATCGTTATGTCTTAGATCGGGACTATATGGAGGATGGTCCAATAATTCCACGTTTTCTTCCGTTAAATACTGCCTTGTTTTTTGGGCTGTGTGCGAGCTTGCATTGTCTTGGTGGAGGATGAGTCTTCTTTCGGAGTTGATTTTTCGAAGCTCGCTGATGACTTTTGGCAAACAAATGGTGGTATACCAATCCGCAGTAACAGTTCTTTGCTCATTAAGAGTAATTGTTGCAATATGGCCCGCTTTTGATACAAATATCGCGACCATCTTTTTCGAAACACTTCGAGAACGGATGACTTTTGTTGGCTTTTCTTCACAGCCGACTGTCGTTTATTTTCTGATTCATAACAGTAAATCCACGATTCGTCACCACTAAAAATGCTGTACACATTTTTTGAGTTTCCGGAATTGAAACGGTCAAGCGTTTTTGACACCAATTAACCCTGGCTGCTTTCTGCTCTTCAGTCAGGGTACCCAACGAGAACCTAATGTTCTTACTCCTAATTCTTCATGTACAATTTTTTGAATTGAGGTCTTTGAGATCTTCAAGGACGCCTCAATCTCGCGATATGTCGCATGTCTATCTTTAATGATGAGTTTGCGCATAGCCTCGACGTTTTCCTGGGTGACTGCCGTTTTTGCGCCGTGGCGCGACAATTATTGAACCACACTTTCTCCAAAGAGAACTATCAGGTGAAATATACATTCTGTTTTTATGGAACGATCCACCTCTTTTACTAAAGTTCAACTACTAGGAAAAATTTGTGGCAAATGGCCCACGAGATCTGCGGCTCTAACGCCTCTGAACTTATTTCCCTGACGCCATGTAAAAGTAGAGGTTTGCCAGGAGAAAACTACAACACCCGAGGACATGTTTTCCAATCTGGTCATAAGACTACTTTTCAGTTGCTGTGTGACTCCCTTTGATGGTGCATCATTCACACTGTATGCAGATGATGCAACTATACTAGTATCTAGTATTTATTATCATGTCATGAAAAAGAAATGTAAAGGAGTTATTGCAGAGATAAAACCATGGCTATAACCTTTCTCATGTATCAATCACTAAGTGTACATCAGACGTGATGCTGATAGACTGGACAAACATTCACATTCATACAGGGTGTCCGAAAAGTCATGGATCAAACGAAAGAAATTGATAGGGGGAGCCATTTCCAATCAGAAAAAAGAAACATCCTTCATTTTTAAAGATTTTTAGAAAATCGCTACTTTTGAGACTGTACTATTTTTTTAAGTTGTCTTCCGCTATTTCGCAATTAGCCTCCAAGATTATATTCTGAAATGATGATGCCTTTGAAAAATAACTACTAGTGAAAAATTACTCTATTCATTTTATCTGCTTTCAAAAGTATTACAGCATATTCAACAAGACCTGTACGTATACAATCATTTAGTGGGCAGATAAAGTGAACATCGTTATGAAAAACTTCCTGATATGATACTTATATAAAAAATGACGATAACTCAAAAACCGCACAATCGGGTAAAGGCATACCATATATGCTTTTTCTGATTTAAATGACGCGCCTATCACACCGTTTCGTTCGATCCATTACTTTTGGGACACCCTATATGGAGAGATCGCTTTTTTCCACCAAGGCAACTGTACTGATAAAGTTTGTTTAGGTCATAGGTAAAAATATATTTTAATAGCCCATATAGTCAGGAGAAACGAAGTGCTAAGAAGGTGCTGTTAAATCCTGATACTGACAGCAATTAATCTTTTTTTAATGATATTTTCATATAGAGAAACCATATAGTTATCATTTTTTAGACAGTTATGTGAGTACATATCAGTCATTCTCTATTTGGTAATCATATTAATGTAGAAAAAACTACTTAATCTACTAACATGTAGTTCCAGAACCCAATAGATACGCTAATATTGCTTTTTCTTCTCCTGAAAGCTGCTGGTGAACATAGAATTTATTCATTACATCATAGATATCAATTTTACAAATTTTGCGGTTGTATTGCAAAAGACTATTTAAACTTCCTTCATTACAGCAACGTATTTTATACAAAAACTGAAATCAATGGTCAGTGATTGAAATGGACATCTACAATCACGAAATATTTACCTAACGGTTATTTAATATATTGACAATGTAATTATTGAAATATAGAGGAATTTATGTTGGTTTTCCATTGATTCAGAGAGGCAATACATACCCACATACGCATACGGTTTTATTCAATAACAGTTTCTGACAGTATCAAATAGTTTTTTACAATCGAGCAGAACAGTTCAACATGTAAATATACTGTGTTACGGTGTTTATTTGTTTTGATGAGTCTAGTTGATAGCAGTTGATACTCAGAAACTTCTTGCTCATTTGAACTGATTTTGAATAACGAAAATAGTTATGCCTCTTACAGATTTCCGTTGAAATCAAGAAGGCATTTTTGCAAAGATGTGGTCGTTTACCAATAGCCTTTAAATGTAACGAAGCATTAGTAGTATCTCTTATATTTACTGTGGATAAAATTGATATTCTGTCTCCTGAAAGGATTTACCACACTTTATTCAGTCCAACTTGTCCAAATGTTTAATCATTTTTCCTAGAAGAACCGACGATGATTCTGGGAAATGTAATAATATTGTTTGTTGTTTTCAAGGTTCAAGAGTAGCTATGAAAAACTACACTGACGTAAATATGTTATTAGGCGAAAAGTTAGTCTGACTGTTTTTGTACATTATCTCTGTGCAATCTATGTTATTCTCGTCAACTACATTGTTAATTGTAATGCTATCATTGACAAACACCAACATACATCCATGCCATCACTCATTTTCTGTTAACTCATAAAAGTCATGATTACGGTTCATGAGTAAACAAAGTATAGATAGTAATAATTTACTAACTAGTTTATATATTGCAGATAGTAGATAATTTTCTCTTACGAAGGCTGCAACGCGGATTTTATATCGATATCCTTTGAATACTGTTGAGTATTAATAAAGCCAAATTGGCATAATTATGAGGCCGGAGTTACAGCTGCCATTTTGATGAACACGTACATCGAATTATCTCTCAAACTACCAATTTAACGTATAAAAATGATGAAATCATTTTTGTACAAAACCAAATTCTCTATGATTTTAATCCTATACACTTTGACCTTATAGTCAACAGCTTACCAGATATTTAACATTAAGGTCACAGGTAATAACATTCTCCCTTTTAACGGCTAAACTGGTAACCAAGAATTATAAATGCTCTTGTTGCTTATTGCTTCTCATGCTACATACGCTGTTAACGTGTCAGCATACATTATTTCACTTAGAGATATTTCCCTAATTATTATCTATGATCAGAAATACCATTCTAAAGTCAATCAGTTTTTTACTGCCACGAATAAATAAGCAGAATTAATATTTTTGGATCATTCGTGACGTCTTCATTATGTAGAGCCACTTACCTCTATCATTCTGTCCGTTACCGATTTTTTCACTGCGTAACTTCATCAATTATTGCAACTATTTAAATGGAAGGCGAGTAACGGTATATATTCGAAAGAGTCATTCAAAGATTATTTAAGAAAAAACGGCTTAGAGCAGCGTCCTTTAGATACCTGTAGCTGCGTAGGGGAGCTCCGTTGGACATTTTTTAGAGGAACCTGTGACATTATTTTTTTATATGCACATCAGAGATTCACATGTGATTTTGTCCACAAGTGTACGTGCTTAAGCTGTGACCATTCGCCTATATTACTGCTCATGCGCGGCTTTTAATAGTCAATCAAACAAGCAATAACACTTCCTTGAGAAACGTTCAAAGAATATAGGTACGACATTTGCATTTCTTAGAGCTATAATAGTTGTCATTACAGGTTGTCATCGAGGACAAATTTCGAAGGGAACGGCCCTTTTGTGCTAAACCTTAGTTGCTAATGCAAAATAGTAATGAAAATTTGACGCTCTTTCAATTGTACAGCGTAAAACAAACTCACAGAGAAAAGCTGAATAAATACAGACTACCAGCATTGCAGCTCTTAGTTAAGTACCTTTAACCGTTTGAGCGTGGATACACAGCTAGAATTTTATTCTACTCGCAATCTGCAATTCAATCGACGGTATTTAATAATGGATACAGTGGATTTAAATGAAATTCTCCAAAGAAGAAAAAAATACTGTTATCATACGCTCAGAAATAGCGTTACCAAAAGAACCTCATATTTGCCCAGCGCTTATATAGGTGCTCCACTTGTTTTTTCATAATTTATTGCATGTTCTCTTCACTCTGTTATTCTCATTATATATCCTTCTAATCTTATCACAGGTACGGCTGTTTTAGATAGAGGAGTTACCTATTTTATTTTCGTTTCCACTGTTTCTTCCAAGTTGTCTAGTATCTGGAGATCTTTAGCAGCTTTATTATGGAAAACCGTCGATCAATTCACAGATTGTGAGTAAAATGCTTTTTAAGCTAAATCAATGAATTTGAATAGATTAGAGGAAATCAAGCCTAGACGTTTACAATGCATTGTTTGACGCCAAAATTGTGTAATTTTAGAGCATACTTCTATCAAATTTGCCTACCAAAATGGGAAGCCAATACATCGACGTAAATTCTTTTCTCTGGCAAGGATATTCAAGTAGCTATTCGTACTGAGTGTACTTACATAGGGCAAAGCAGAAATACGATCTGTCTTGCAATATAAATCGCTCAGTTCATGTCAATAAACCGGGATAAATTAAATAAAGCAAAGCAACGAAAGTAAAGATTTATTGACCGTACGCCATATGATTTGTCATGTCGGAAGATGAACAATACGAAACACTATTTCCATCATATTACTAACAGCGACAAGGGTGGAACATCTGATATTGAAAATAATGGGACACCTCATGGCTTACAGGTATTCTACTCGATTTCTTTCAACAGATGTCGTGATCCGAGCAGAGTATCGGCTAAAAGCAAATACCTAAGGTAGGTTTACCAAGTACTGCCACCTTTAAGAATTATTGCCATAAATAATTCTCATTTTTTACAGTATCGAAATAAAAACTGGGATACGAGGGCGACGCTATATATTTTGAGATACACGAAAACTATAAAACTATTTTTCGAAAACTAGTTTATGTATTCTCCTCCACCATCAATGCACTTCTGTAACCTAAAATTCCACAAATGAAATGCTTCTAGCCAGGCAGTTCTTGAATTGACTTCAACAGACTGATTAGTTGCTTGATCGATTTCCTCTTCGGCTGAAAATTTTCGACCACGCAGATTTTTGTTGAAATTCTTGAACAGCTAGTCACACATTGCCAAATCTGACGAATAAGGCGGATGTTCTAGCATTTTGATGTAGCGCTGGCGTAACGTCTACAGTTAGTTGGACAATGTGGCTAGAGGCATTGTCGTCATGCAGGATTGTACCTCTGCAACAACTTTTTTTGAATGAAGATGATCATGCAAAATGGTGTACGCTGTTGCGGATCGTACCCCAAGAGTTGCCTCTATAGTCGCATATGTACAGCGAGAATCTTCTTCATTTAGCCACTGAGTTTTAGCAATGTTCTCTGGAGTCACACTAGAACATGGAATACCACTACGTTCTTCATCAGCCAATGAACGACGCCTTCGTTTAAATTCACCATACCAGCGAAATACACTTGCCCGGGGCGGGGCTTTATTACCAGATGCCTGTTGTAACCGTTCGATTCATTGATGTTCAGTTAAACCGATTCATGGTATATCATAGTGCCATAACTCTCTCGAGTCAACTCCATGTTTCCTCTTAAATTTGTTTACACCACGTGCACTGTAATATGCTTGCAAATGAACTGAATGCGGTGACTTACTAAAGGGCTTCTAATATTGCACTGTTACCGGTTTTAACTAGTATGGTTAATGCGCATCTCAAAATATACAGCGTGCCCCTCGTATACGTATATATAGAGGAATATATATTTTCTATAAAATATGTTTCAGGCATTCCAAGAGGATGAATGCAAATGTACTTATCGTAATTTCTTATTACAATATCTGATGACAATATTAAGCTTACCGGTGTTCCTATTATTGCCACATTGTATAGATATTAAAAATATTCAGTAAGATTACCAAAATAATGAAAAATAACATAAAATAAAAATTAAAACTCAAAAACGGAGAGGAAGATGGCAGGTACAAGAAATGTTCACTTACAACAGGGACTAGTGAATATTTCCTCAT